ACAACTGAGTCCCCAGCTGTACCAAACACCTGAGGGCCCAGGTGTACCAGGGGACCAGCCTTCTTCCCTCGACCGACCTGATCTGTTTCCTCAGCTGGAAGAAGAGGAGGAGGATCGAGGAAGAGGAGGAGGAGGAGGATGAGGAGGAAGAGGAGGAGCGGGAGGAGGAGGAAGAGGAGGAGGAGAAGGAGGAGGGGGAGGAAAGGAGGGTAACAACACCCTGGCAGTGCTGCCAACATGTTTCTATTTCAATAGAAACATGTTGGGAAGGAGGAGGAGGAGGAGGAGGCGGAAGAGGAGGAGGAGGTTGAGGGATGAAGGCTGGGCCCCTGGCACACCTGGGCCCCCAGGTGTTTGGGGCAGCTGGGGGCCCAGTTGTACCGGAACACCTGGGGGCCCAGTTGTACCAAACACTTGGGGGTCCAGTTGTGCCAAACACTACGTCATTTGGTACAACTTGGCCCCCAGCCAGGAGGAGGGGGAGGAGGAGGAGGAGGAGGAGGGGGAGGGGGAGGAGGAGGAGGAGGAGGAGGAGGAGGAGGAGGAGGAGGAGGAGGCGGACAAGGAGGAGGAGGAGGGGAAGGAGGATGAGGAGGAGGAGGGTAACATCACTCTGGCAGTGCTGCCAACATGTTTCCTCTTCAATTGAAACATCATGGGACTACGAACTGCTGCAGGAGGAGGAGGAGGAAGAGGAATCTGATGAGGAGCTTGAGCTTGCCATCTGACCAATCCACCCCCGGGGAACTCAGCAACCTCGATGGCGGTCGCTGGTGCATGCGATCGCAGAGCAGGTGCTCGTGCGATATGCGCGAGACAAATCTGTGCAATTAAGTCCACAACGAATGCCTCGCTCAAATTCGACGGCAACAAAGTGGAAGGCTACGCAACAGCTGCTGCTTGCATGTTCTGTACCTTGAGATACTGCTTGTTCAGATTCAGAAGGTCGGTCTCCACTTTGACAAACCCGGACGCATCCTGCAACAGACTGAACGGATCCTGCTTGTACTTGCTGGAGACTTGCGCGAGTGTAGACGACAGGACCAGCAGCGCGAACTGCGTGCTCATCTTCGCGTGCACATCGTCGACAGTCTTCAACATGTGGCTGTAGAAAGTGTTAGCCGCGAGCCATTTCCAAGCCTCCTCGCTCTCCACCTGCTTCTTGATCGTCAGAGCCATGCTCACTGCCCCATTGTGTTGGGCCTTGAGCTCGAATGCCTTCTGGAGCAGATGTTTCAAGGAAGCGGGGTCGACCTGCTCATCTGGTTGCTCCCTCTGCCTCTTGTTACCAGACTTCCTATCGCTGGGAGTGCTGGCCGCGCCGCCAGCCTGAGGTCTCGAACTGCCTGCGCGTTTCGAGCCCTGCTCCTGGGCGGCGATCTTCGGATTCAGCTCAACGAGCTTGGATCACTTCTGCCTGCAAATTTGTGCAAACCATTGGCTTATTGCGCGGGCCACAAGTGATGCGTCTTGCTTGACTATGCTGACGGCTGGGGCTTTCGCCTCATCCGTCATATCCAAGTCAAGCAAATCGTCTCCATTGTGACCCACTCCTCATCGTTCGTGACACCCCCCAATGACCTGAACGTATCCTTGAACTGTTTTTTTTACGTAGAGGAACCCGGCCCGTTCCGTCAAGCAGTTGCACGTGGCCCACCGCCCTCCCATAGCTAAACGCTTCTTCACGTAGTTGATGCTTGCCTGTGCGTTTTCTACCTGGCCGTAGCCGCCTTCCTTCGCGACGATTCGAGGGAACGGGTGGTAGGTGCAAATCTCGATGTCTTCCACTTCCCACTCCTCCTTGCGAGTGTATTTCCCCCTCAAGACTTTCAACTGTTTGTCCGCCCATTCGCGGCATTGCTTCTCCTTGGCGCCGTTGCTCAGCTTCTTGAACTCCGACTTCTCACGCATGGAAAGCTCGCGTATAAACTTCTGGGCTAAGCCACTGGAGCTGTCAATGTGACCACCGCCGATGTCCTCGATGGCCTTGGCGAGCTCTGCGTCTCGTTTCGGCATGCTGTCAGGCCAAGCGAATCCATTCTCATTGACAGCGTTCTGGGACTTCTCCTTTGCGACTTCGTTCAAGTGGGAGGATGCGGCGCCGATGAGGGCGCCAAGCTCTCCTGGTCCTTTTTTCCATCGCGTTCGAAAGTGGCCCCCGCAGAGAATCAGGCGCACACGCAGGCGAGGGCGGCGATTGCTCCCCGAGGCTCTCCTTCTCGACTGTGTTCCCCTGCTTGATCACTGCTGGCAGCGCCGTCATTGGCTCCGCCATTGCGACCCCAAATGGTTGACCAAGGTCTCGGGTATCTTCAGACAGCCTCGGCAAACCCTGGGCCAACATGAAAGCAACGGCCATCGAGCAAGTCTTGAAACACAAACTGGAACCCACTTGCCCCGCAAGTTCTGGAGACTCGGCGGCCAATGTCTGGCCCCGATTCTGCGAGACACGCCCAGCGGGCGAGTCGAAGCCGAAGACCGTTCGGCGGGGAAGCCCAGACGAGGAAAACGAGGTGGAGGATGCGCATGCACGTTTCGGGGTTCCCAAGGGCATGGGTTTTATTTAGTTCGTTGGGGGGGGGGGGGGGGGGGGGGGTGCGGGGAGGTCTTCGGGATCTCTGGTAGAAACAGGTTGTGATGTTTTCGGTGAGATCGTTGACGCGTTCTAGCCGATCTCGTGTAAGTTGAACGTGCTGCATCTGTCGTATATTTGATCGCATGTGTTTGCATGTGTTGATTATAATGTATTGATTCAGTCCCTAAACCTGTCATTGTAGTCTTGATGCTGTGTATTTTAGTATATGTGTATATGAGGACGCTCGGGGTTGCATTGCTGATGCGGTTTGTGTTGCTGTGTTTATGTTCGCATGCGTGTGAGGCGTATGCTCTGGCAATGCGGCCCTTCGGCTTCGGTCACTGTCCGGGGCCCTGCTCGATCCATGCTCCCTCTACTGCCTGTTTGCTTGTATTGTCCAGGCCGCCCTGCGTCTAGATCGGTCTACTCGTTGAGGGGCGCCGTCTCCTCAAGCATGGAACGGGGCGTTGCATCCTCAAAGGTCCCCTCACCGTCATCGGCATCGTCGCGATCGTCATCGCATGCATCAGCACGCGCAGCTGGCCTCGATGACACACGCGAAGGTTTTTTCGAGGTAGCCGATGTAGCCCGTTTCTTGATATCGATGCCCTTCTCCTTAGGGGCGGGCGGATCGCGACGCGCATATCAAGACGTGGACAGGGACAGAGCGAGAGAGGCTGGAACGATACAGAGATAGAGATAATGGTTGACAGTTGCGCAAATTAGTGCCCGTGTCCTTCAGCACAGCGTCCCTCTTCTCATAGATCTGGCTGATATCGAACCTGCCGCCGCAGTACGACTTCGCGAGGCCCGCCATCAGCTTGACCACTTCGCTCTCCCCCATCACGTCGGCGCGCAGCTGGCACCCATGGGGGCCGTCGGCGTAGTTCGAAACGAGCACAACCCTGTCCGTACGTGGTTCTACCGAAACGACTTTTCCTTCCGCGTCGTTGCCCTTCCAGCGGGGTCCTCTGCGTGTCTGGGGCGGTTCATTTGCAGCAGCTGTCCGCCTCATTAATGCCGCAGCTGGTCTTTTCATGGGTGCGTCCTTCTCGCTGCCGTTGTCCGTCGGATCTGCCATGTAGTCCTTCGCGGTCATGTCCGCGATGGCATGGAGGTAGCCGTCGCCCCACGTAGCAATCGCAAGGGCTAAGGGGGTCTCCTTGGAGTAAGTGGTATCCGTGGTGTACGTTTTGGCGTCCGCGTTTGAATGAGGGGCTCCCCAGGCCTCTTTTCGTTCTGTGTCCCATCCAAAGTAGTAGTCAATTGGGTCAGGGCCAATCTGCATGAGCTGATCTGCGAGGGGAACGAGCCACTTTGAGGTGTTTTTTTCACGAAGTGCTTGGTTTAGGTGGCGAACTTGCTGAAGCACCCTCGTAACGCGTGTATCCTTCCAGTCGGCCAACTGATCTTCCTTTTGGAACCACGTCCTCTTCCTGTCACCAATAATGTCGAACACATCAGCCACGAGCTTCTTCGCGAGAGTGATGTTCCCGCTCGTCTCCTTTGCAAGTGCAACGTGCATCGGGAAATGTTTTTGAGCAAATCGGGATTCCTTGGGCTGGTCTCCGTTGCGCACTCGAACCACGTCAGGCTTGTCACTATAGGGCTCAATGATGTCGGCACCGTGTGTGGGTGACAATTCAGCACGGGGCCTAGATGCAGACAGTTTGCAGTTCCGAGAATACGGGCGGCGCGTGCGCGCCAGGATTGCGATCGAGCCAAAACGGCTATGATTCAACTCGTCATCAGCCACCCCCCCTTTCATGTCATCCCCAACAATCGGGCGCAACGTACGAGGACGTCTCATGCGAGAACTACCACTTTACACTCTGTACACGTGTGATTGTGAGTATGTGTAGCCGTTTTGCGTGTTTTATCACGGAATATTTCGTGGTTGACGTTCTTCAAATGTTTTAACATGTATAACGCGTGTTGCAACCGAATTATACATTCCGCTGTGCAATTGAACGTGTGCGCTATTGTTTTAGCGATGCAATGTTATCTGAACGTTGCGATGATAATTAAACGATTTGCCATGTGCTGACTTAGCATTGCAATGCTAGCTTAACAACGCAATGCTATTTTAACAACGCAATGCGATTTTAACAATGCAATGCGATGTTAACACTGCGTTGCTATTTTTAAACAGCGCAATGCTATTTTAACGATGCTATGCTATTTTAACAATGCACTGATACTTTAACAAAGCAATGTTTTTTTACCAATGCCAACATTACATTGCTATCTTAACGAGGATTGGACCAGCAGGTCTGGGATGATGTCGATGATCGTCGATCGGCTATTTGCAAGAGTGACCCTGGGTAAGAGTGACCTTTGGTGCGCGACTTGTTGGGGGCCGCGGGGGGACCAAACCTGGGCGCGCAAGCAGCTGCTACCGCTTCCTTCTCAGCCATCTGAGGGGCCCATCTGTGCCCGCACCAAAAGTCACTCCGGCGAAAGGTCACTCTGACGTCTAGTCGAGTCGAGTGGGTCACCACACGGGTCATCTTCACCGCCGAGCCGACTGCGCGGCGCAAGCGCCCACTGCGCGCTGGGTGTCCGCAGGGGCGGGCGCGCGGGCACAGTGCTCCAGAATATGCTTGTGCCCTCGCCACCAGAGGACAGGATGCAAATCTGGCAATGCTCCAGCATGAACGCATGCAGCTCCGTGGCCCTCGGAGCGTCGATGCTTCGGGCGACTCGCCCGTCATTGCTCGCGCGGGCGGGCCTGCGCCCCAGCAGACGGCGGGCCATCGCCACTGGGCACCGTGCTCCCGCCAACCTGCTCGGCCTCAGCGCACGGCGCTGCCCGGCGCGGGAAGGCGAAGACTGCCGCGGCTGGGACGTCCTGCACCCAAGGCCACGCCACGCAGCGATCGCGGGCCGCAGCCGTGAAAGCCGGGGCCGCTCCCTGCCTGACGGAGAGCTTAGCCAGCCGCAGGCTCTCAGCCGCCTCGGTAGCGGCTGCGGCATCTGCGGCACTGCTGGCCTTCGGCCGCCCCAGCGCCACGGCAGTGCGGACAGCTCCTCGGTGGGCCCGCCACAGCAGTGTGGAAAAGCCGCCGCCGCGCGAAGCTTCGAAGGTAGGGCCAAGGACAAACCCCCGAACCACCCTGGCAGAGAGGCCTGCTCCTGGGCGTGACTGTCCATGCTCGCCCCCATCAGAAGTTCGAGGGGATGCCAGCACTCAGTCTCGAGACGGGCCGCGTGCTCCTCCAGCAATTGCCACGGGCATAGCCGCATGTCATACTCGATGGCCCTGGCGATGGATTGCTGCATGATCGACCAGACCGTCTGGTCCACCTGCTCGTGAACCTTCGCCCCGGCCATGTGCCGCAGCGCCGCAAGATGCTCGCACGCGGCACTCACCCGCTTCCGCGCCGGGCCAGTCGCGGCAGCAAAGGACCCAAGCGCAGCCTCGGAATTGCAGCCGCTCCCGTCTCTCCCTCCCTCCCTCCTCCCTCCCTCCCTCCCCCACCCCCCCACGCGCCCTTGTGTGCCCACCCCTGACGCAACGCCCGGGGGCTCTCCTGCAGGTCCGGGCGACTTCCCGGCGCCTGCCGCGCAGCAGGAGCACGGGAAGGCGACGCTCGTTTTTGTACTGACAAAGACCAGCCGCACGCGTACTCGCCTGTTTAAAAACCCTGCGGCCAGCGAGGGAGACGCTATTCGACCCAGCTCCGCAGATCGCGGGAAAGGTCGTCGTCGTCATCCGAATCGCGGGAAGGAGAGCCCTCCCGGTGGAATGGACCCCCCGGTTGTCGTGAGCCAGCAAGGGAGCCTTTTTACTGCGGGCGCGGCCGCCCGACGGGTGCGAAACAGCGGCGGCGGGCCCCGCGGAATGAAAGCCATATGGCGCGCACCGTCCCGCAGGGGGCACCGCTGGCACGGCAGCCGACGCCATGCCGAGGCTGCCCGCGTAGCCTGCCTCCTGCTGCTGCTCGCTGAGGCGGCCCGCTCGCCTAGGCAGTGGCTCAGCGCGCGCACTCGCAGGTTGTCCAGCGGGCTGGGGCGGTCCGCGCAGTCCGCCCCGTCATCGCGACGGCGGGCGAGGGGGGGTGCGAGGAGGAGAAGGTTTTCTCAAAAGGCTCGGAAGGCCCCTCGCGCCTTCCGAGAAGCTGCTTCGGCCCCCCACCCGAAGACGCAGAACACTTCTCCGAAGGCGCGCAGGAGCTTCTGAAAGTCCCGCCACATTCTGGGAAGGTCTTCTCCTTCTCGCTCCCCCCTCGTTCGCCGCCGGGTTTGCTCGACCCCACCCCCCAGCTCGGCGAAGCATCGTGTCGGGGATCTTCTGGCCCGGGTCAATCCAGACCCGGGTCAGCGGGAAACCAAAAACTGCAATGCAGGAAAAAACAACTGCAACGCAGCTCTTCGCAAACCCGGGTCAGCCAATATGCGCGGCCGCCTCGCGGCCACGAGCGACTCGGGTGAGCCAGAGGGGGTCTTCGCAGGATCCTGCAGGATCTGGTGCCCTGGCTGACCCCCGTTTGCATTGACCCCCGTCTCAAGGCTCCCGACTTCTCGCTCCCCCCTCGTTCGCCGCCGCGTTTGCTCGACCCCCATCCCCCAGCTCGGAGAGGCATCGTGGACCTCATTGTTGGCGCCGGCCCCCATCGGCGACGGTGGAGGCGTCGCCTCGCCCCATCTTCCGGCGCCAGGGGGGGCCAGGGCAAAGGGGCCGTGAGGGGGAACGATGGTGGCGAGCAAAGCGTGCGCTCACTCCTCCTCCTCCTCCTCCTCCTCCTCCTCCTCCTCCTCCTCCTCCTACTCCTC